GGATTTCGTCGCCGCCCGAGTCGCCCCGAGCGGAGCGACGCGGGGGAGGAGCTTGATGCTGTGGATGGTGGTAAAAGAGATCTTCAGTCAGTCGTGTGGTTGAGCTCCATCACATCGAAGAATTGCAACGGGATAATCTTTGTGGTGAATGACTGCGTGGTTCTGTTGTGGTTAACGCTCGCTAGATGGTCTAGACAGAGTTTTTTTATTTTCTGTTTTGCTGCTCTGCCAGCATTGAACTTGTGTTATGATGCTGTCCTACCCATCGTGGCAGTGTTGAACTCTTTAAGTTTCGTTCATGAAACTGGGGTTGACCCTTCTATTAAAAGAAACTGTTGTCTACAAATGTCGTCACGTACCAAGCTTCTAAGGTCTGAACGGTTTTTTTTTTGGCAATTGGTGGGCCAGTAAAATATGCGCACAGTTCACCAATTAGCATCTCTGCCTATCAGTGCAAAGCCATGCCTTAAGAGGCGTGTTATTCCTTATTTACATACTCCCTCTGTCCGGAAATACTTGTCCCAGAAATGGATGCATCTAGACGTATTTTAGTTTTAGGTACATTCATTTTTATTCATTTCTCCGACAAGTATTTTCGGACGGAGGGAGTAGTTATTAGTTGAAACATATAAGCAAGGTATATGTTTCAGAAATGATTTTTTTAAAGTAAACTATACTCGACATGATTGGGCGATGTGCAGTCCACCTCCCACTCAATATGTATTGTTGTTTTAATAATTCCTATTTAATACATAATCGACTTGATTAATAAAATGAAGACCCGATATGGTCTCCTATAGTGCACTCAAATGAAACCAGTGCTAATTATGGATGTCCAATCAAGTTTGCAACCAGTAAGATAATACTACTATATGAGTACGACTCGTTCGGGGCCAGATGCACAGGGTTAACAAGCAATGGGTTTGCATATACTTTTGGGAGTTGGAGTTTGACTTTGCTTGCAGTTTAGTAACACACCTATTGTAGCCAGTTTAGTATATTTATGGGGACTGGGATAGTTATCCTAGCTATTAACTATTAGTCGAATTTTGAGTTTAGTCGTGCTCCTATATATTACACTCTACCACCAATTATGGCATTGAGTTATGGAAGGGGTCATCATTTGGTTGTAGTAGTACTGTACTATTTAAGCACAAGTGCTGGCCAGATCCCAGATGGACCAAAGCTACAATCGCCATCCGCCCTTCGTTTCATGCATGGTTCTGTGCCTGATGCTATCGCTCTGTGGACTTGCAATCCTCTCTTCATCCAACATAATCTGTCCTGTGCCTGAAGCTGTTGCGTGCTGCACAACTGTAGGCTACCTAAGCGGGCTGTCTCTTGTAAGTCATCATATTTACTTATCCTTCATTTATTTTCATATTGCAAAGATAGGATTCGAAGAAAAAAAAAGTTCTTTTCATGTTCTGCATGCGCAAATGCATTGATCTTTGATGCCTTAATAGACTCTTGACGTCGTATTTGTTGATCTTTGTATCATCGTGATGCAAATGCATACATCTAGTTGCTAATAAGAGTTTCCTTTATTTTGTTATTGTAGTAGTACAAAATTAACTTCCGCCAGGGCAATGGCTGGAGGGCCGATTAAGCTGTGGAATGAGTGGGCGACCCAAATCCTCGTCCTACTCAGCTTTGCGCTGCAGATTTTCCTCTTTCTCTTCGCGAGGACCCGTCGGCGTGGACCCTCTGCCGTGCTGAAGATCCTCCTCTGGTTAGCGTACCTCATGGCCGACTCCACCGCTGCCTACACCCTCGGCCATCTCTCCATCAGCAGTTCGCCGCGTGAGCAAAAGCTTGCGGTATTCTGGGCGCCCTTCCTCCTGGTGCATCTTGGTAGCCAGGACACCATCACCGCCTACGCCCTTGAGGACAACAAGCTTTGGCCACGCCACCTGCTAAATCTCAGTGTCCAAGCCTTTGGGGTTGCTTATGTCCTCTATAAGCATATCGCCGAGATCCCCACCTTGTTGGGATTGGCTACCAGCTTGATGTTTGGCGTCGGTCTCAGCAAGTACGGGGAGAGGATATGGGCACTCAAGTGCGCCATCCTGGACAGCATCCGGAGCTCCATCAGAAAACCTCATGCTCTCCCTACTTACTCCGATGAGCTTCATCCCCGGGGACCAAGAAGGGCAAAAGAGCGCGATGAAGAAGAGCTCCTTCTGTTTTCTCATGACATGCTCCCCCTTTGCAAGGGCGCTATGGCTGATTCTCCTGTGGATTTGTTTAGGTTCCGTATTGCAACTGGTGTGATCTTGTCCAAATTTTATGTACGGAGTTGGGAATGGAAAACTACGCTCAGGGTGGTGGAGATGGAATTGTCCCTGATGTATGACATTATCTACACCAAGGCAGTGGTGATGATCCACACTTGGTATGGCTACCTGTTCCGTCTGGTTTCGCTCCTGGCCACTGTTGGTGCATCCGTACTGTTTCAGTTAAGTGGCAATAAAATTGGTTACAGCAGACTTGATGTTGCCATCACTTAGAGCATCTCCAATAGGCGCGCCAAACTAGCGCTTCCAGTAGTGCTCGTCCTCCTTCTTCACCCCTTCTTTTTCGCCTCGACGTCGCGCTTCCAGTAGTGCTCCAGCTCACTGGACGTACTGCGGATGCTATCGTGCAAACCGAGTCACCGCCGCCTCGTCGCTCTCGCCGGGAGCGACAACAACCACTGGTCTCTTCTTCGCCTTCTTCATCGGCATCTCCTCCATACAGATGCCCTGTGGCACGAGCCACTCCGCCACCGCCTGGGACTCGACTTCCGGGAAGTTGAGGTCCGTCTTTGGCCGTCCGGCACGCCACACCGCCACGTCGTGGGCACGCGTGGCCTCACCAGCGGTGGGATACATGCTGAGCCACCAACGCGCCCGGCGTCGGAGAACTGCACTCCGAAGTTCCCGAAGGGCTTCGCCCTCATGCCGAATAAACCGGACTTGCCCTTCGGCGTCTTCTTCGGCGCCATCGGGGAGCGGGCGGCGGCCGAGCGGGGAGCGGGGCGGCGGCGTGCGGCGCGGGGCGGAGGCGGACGAAGCAGGGCGACGGCGTGTGGCGCGGGACGGAGGCGGACGGGACGGGGCAGTGGATGGACCAGAGGCGGAGGCGGATGGAGCGGGGCCGGG